GGCGGCGGCGGTGGCGGCGGGGCGGCGGCGGCTGCTGCGGGCGGCGGGGGCCGCGGCTGGGCGGGCGCGGGGCCGCGGCGGGCTGTAGGCGGCGGCGCCATGGAGCGGCCCGGGAGCGCCGAGGGGGCCTGGGCCGCGCTGCTGGGCCGGCAGCACCCGCAGGTACCGGGCGGGCCGGGGCGGGGGGGCCGCGCGCGGGGCCGCGGTGACGGTGCGGCCGTGCCCGCAGGCCCGGGAGTTCTGCCCGGGGGTGAACAACCGGCCCTACGTGTGCGAGACCGGGCACTGCTGCGGGGAGAGCGGCTGCTGCACCTACTACTACGAGCTGTGGTGTGAGTGCGGGCACCGCGGAACGGGGGGAGCGGAGCTGCCGCGGGGGTCGAGGGCAGTCCGGGGGTTTGGGGAGCCCAAGGGCTCCGAGGGGGTCCTGCGGCTCTGGGGGGGGCTGAGTGACAGCGGGGGTTCCAGCGGGGATCGGGGAGTCCCGGGCGAGCTGTGGGTCGAGGGGGGGCCGGGGGCTCCGGAGAGTCTGGGGGAGGTCGGAGGCTCCCCGGAGATGTGGGGACTCTGGGGGTTCTGGGGCCCGGGGGCTGCAGCCCGACGCCGGGGGGCGGGACTGTGTGTGAGGGTGACCCCCGCTTTGCCCCCCCGCCCCGCAGGGTTCTGGCTGCTCTGGACCATCCTGATCCTGCTGAGCTGCTGCTGCGCGTTCCGGCACCGCCGGGCCAAGCTCCGCCTGCAGCAGCAGCAGCGGCAGCGCGAGATCAACCTCATCGCCTACCACGGTGCCTGCCAGTACCCCCCCTCCGCGGGGGACCTCCGTGAGTGGGCACAGGGACCCCCCGCGCCCCCAGCCCTGCCAGTAACCTTCCTCCATGGGGGGTCTGTATGAGTCAGGGCACCCTGGACCCTCCTGTGCCTCCCCCAGCACCAGCATCCCCCCTAACCCCACATCCCCCTCCCCTGCCCCTCCCCATATCCCCTTCCCCCTGGCTTTTCCACTCAGGCCCTCCATTTCCCCCTCCCCAGCCCTGCCCCGGGCTCAGCCTTCCAGCTCCCTCCCCTCTGGGATCCCTTCCAGCCCTGCATCCCCCCAGCTCTGCCCCCTTTGCTCCCATGTCCTCTGGCATTCCCTGTACCCCCCAGCCCTGCCCCGTGCCCCCCCGGGTGCTCCCCTGACCCCGCTGTCCCCCCCAGGGCTGTTGGCCTCCTTCAAGCTCCCTGCGTACGAGGAGGTGGCCCAGCGCCCCGGGACGCCGCCGCCGCCCTACAGCCCCGGGAGCCCCTCGCTGTCCCCCGGCTCCTCCGGGGGCTGCAGCTCCTGCTCCTGCGGCTGCTCCTGCGCCTCCTCCCCCAGCAGCTCCTCGCTGTCGGCGCCGGGCACCGACGAGACGGACCCGGAGCCGGGGCCGGGCCCGGGGGGCAGCACCGCCGGCGGCTCCAGCAGCACCGGCGCCAGCTGGGAGCTGCCCCTGCCAGAGGAGCCGCCGGCCTGTGGGGGCCCCTCCAAACGCGGCCCCCTGGACTTCCCCGAGGCCGAGGCCGGCCCCTGCTCCTACACCGAGGGGGGTGAAGAGGGGGTGGGCGGTGCGGCCCGGGGGGAAGGCGGCCCTGGGCGGCACCGGCGGCTCACGGGGGACTCGGGCATCGAGGTGGGGCGGGGCCTGGAGGAGGAGGAGGGTGAGGCCGAGGGCTGCGGGGGGCCAGGGGGTGGGGGGGGCCTGGCTCACCTGCGCTGCCTGTCTGAGCCCCCCCGGGACCCCCTGCTGGGGTCTGGACTCACCACAGAGCCCCCGGGGGCCCCTCACCCCGACTGACCTCCACGGTGACCCCACTCATGGTGTGGCCCTGCCGGAGCCCCCTCCCCTCCAAACTGCTTCTGGGCCCCCCACCCACCGTGCCCTTGGTGCTGCTGCCTGGGGGGGCCCCATCGCCGCGGGGGGCCCAGGCAGTGGGGGTGGGTGGTCCTGGTGCGTTCTCTCACCATTAAAGAGACGTGGAGGTACCGGAGCCCTGGTGTGATGAAGGTGCTGGGCTGGGTTGGGCCCCCCAACTTATCAGGGAGGGGACAAAGAAACCCGCCGTGGCTTGGGGACATGGGGCTGAGCTGGGGCAAAGACCCCCAGCAGCACAGGGGACACAGCAACACCCTGACCCGGACAGGAACAGGCCATGGTCATGGAGGTTTATTGCAGAGGAGATGAGGGGGCTCCAGCACAGCCCCCCAGCACCTCCCCTGGCCCTGAGCTCACGGTGGGGGCACAGGAACCCCCCACTAATAGTCCTCAGCCATGGCGAGCACGACGAGCGCGGACCAGCCCGCGAAGGGGTGGCAGCCCTGCCCCGCCCCGTCGCTGTCCCGGTACTGCTCCCACAGGAACCCGGTGGCCTCGTGCTGCCGGAACATGTTGGTGACCAGGTTGTGGCGCAGCTCCCGGTACAGCTGCGCCGCCTGCTCGCGGTGCGGCCCCGCCGTGTGCGCGTACCCGTGGAGCGCCCGCAGCGCCAGGAAGTTCACGTTGACCCAGACGGAGCCGCGCCAGTACGGGGGGTCGTGCTCGGTGTTGCGCTGCAGGTACCAGGGGCTGTCGCGGGCGAGCGAGCGCAGCCCGAAGGGCGTCCAGAGCTTCGCCTCGCTGCGCATGGCGCCCAGCAGCGCGGGCAGGCGCGGGGAGTCTGCGCGCAGCAGCTGCAGCAGCAGCGGGAACAGGCTCACGTAGCCCAGCGCGCCCACGAAGCGCGGCCGCGGCGCCTCCCGCACCTCCCGGCGCAGCCGCGGGGCCGGCGGGGCCTGGCCGGGCACGGGGGCCGGGCGGTGCCAGCGCAGCGCCACGGCCGTGCTGTGGTTGCCGAAGTCGGCGAAGGCGCCGAGCTCGGGCGCCCAGTGGTGCCGCTCCAGCAGGGCGTTGTCGCTCAGCGCCAGGGCCATGTCGCTGTAGGGCTCGGGGGGCTCCCCCAGGCGCTCGGCCAGCGCCGCCAGCACGCGGGCGCCCAGCGCCATCCAGCAGCGCAGGTCCAGGTGCCGCTCCTGCTCCGACGGGTGCGAGGCGCGCGGGTAATCGTCCAGCCCCGACGCCAGCGTCTTGGGGTTCAGGAAGCGCTCGGCGTCGGCATCGCGGCCGCGCCAGCGGAAGGTGAGGGGCTCGGGGCCGGCCTGGGTGCGGTTGAGCCACGAGAACCAGGCGCGCAGGCGCGGGGAGAGGCGGCGCAGGTAGGGCAGGGGCGCGTCGGGCAGCAGCCGCTCCAGCGCCAGCAGCAGCGTCGGGGGGTTCGCCGTCTCGCTGTGCTGCAGCACAAACTCGGGGGGCACCCTGGCCCGCGCCTCGTCCCCCAGGATCTGCTCCCGCGGGATCCAGCCGTCGGCGTTCATGAGGTCGAGCCAGTGCGCCAGCACGTCGCGGGCCAGCGCGGGCGCCCAGCGGGCCAGCAGCAGCAGGTGGAAGCCCTCGTCCCACAGGAAGCCCCGCGGGAAGCAGGAGCGCGAGGGCGCGGCCGTGAACAGCACGGCCTCGGGGCCGGGCAGCGGCTCCGAGCTGCGCTCCGAACGCAGCAGGGAGCGGCCGTGGAAGAAGCCGAGCCCCCCCAGCAGCTCGCTGAGCGCGGCCTGGGCGAAGCGGCGCTGGGGGGGGGTCGCCCCGCGCGCCCCCAGCCCGAAGGTGTCCTCGAAGCGGCGCTCGAAGGCGGCCGCGTGCCGGGCCAGCGCCGCGCCCAGCGCCTGCCCCGCCAGCCGCCCCCGCCGCGCCCCCGCCGCGCTGCCCGACTCCAGCACCACCTCCAGCACCGCCGGCGCCTCCAGCGTCACCTGGTGCAGCAGCAGCTGCCCCTGCGGGGGCTCCCCGGGCAGGCCCCCCGTCCTGGACACCCCCAGGTAGTGGCGCCGCGGCCGCCCCGGCGGAGAGAACAACGAGGCTTCCCGGAGGCTCCGCTGGACCAGCTCCGTGAGGCGGTGCAGCCCCGGCACCCCCGCGGCCAGGAAGTTGTAGCTGAGGGAGACGGGGGGTCAGGGATGGGGGGCAGATGGGGTGACGGGGGGGAGGTGGGAGAGTCAGGTGGGGGGAGACACGAGGGAGATGAGGAGTCAGGGAGAGGGGGACACAGCGGACATGGAGTCAGGGGAAAGGTGGAAGAGATGGAGGAATGCAGGGAGGAGACATGAGGGGACACAGATGGGATGCAGAAGGGCACACTGGATATTAGGGAAAGGGGGGACATGGGGGAGATGAGGGAAGAGAAAAGGGGAGATGAGGGAAGAGAAAAGGGGAGGACACAGGGAGAGAGAGAGAGAGACATGGAGTCATGGAATGGGGAACAGAGGAGACAAAAGGTGGGCGGAGATGGAGGGGCCGTGGAGGGGTTGGGGGACGTGCTCCAGTGACTCACCTGGCGTATTTAGGCTCCTCCTCACCCTCCCCCGTTGGGGGCAGGAAGGTGAGGGTGAAGTTCCCGAGCTCCTCCGATGTTCCCTCCACGGCCGCCAGGCGGGTCCCGTTGTGCAGCACCGGCCGCAGCTCCCCCTGCCCGTCCGTGGCCACGTAAAAGAACAGGGACAGGAGCGGGGCCGGGCCTTTGCCCTGCGGGTAGGAGCAGGAGCAGGAGAGTGACGGAGGGTCCCCGGCATCCCAACGCCTCTCCCGCTCTCCCTGCGCTCACCTCCGTCCTCGCCGTGACCCTCCAGCTCCAGTCCCCGCCGTGGTCTCCCCCCGGCTGCTTGACGAACTCCGTCCTGAGCAGCAGCCGCCCGTCGCGGATCTCCTGCACGCCGAAGTTCTCCCCGTCGTGCATCACCCACCCGTACCGGGCCGGCCCGTCGCCGCTCTCGCACGTGTGCCGCAGGCCGCCGCCGTGCTGCAGCCACATCAGCCCTGGGGGGCGCGGGGGGTCAGGGGAGGCTCCCGGGGCGGCAGCGGGGCCGGCGGAGCCCCGGGGCGGAGCCCCCGCCCGCGCCCCCCTCACCGGTCACGACAGAGCGCGGGCTCCGCGTCTTCATCCCGAAGTACACGTGCGGCCGGTACGTGCCCCAGAAGTAGGTGGGCGAGGCGAGGGGCCCGGTGGAGCCGGGGGGGACGGCGGGGGGCGCGGGATGGGGGGTGACGAGGCGCGAGGCTTCGCTCCACCGGCTCCACTCGGTCGCCGCCGCCACGAGACCGAGCGCCAGCGCTGCCGCCGCCGCCGAGGCCACCAGCACCGTCCGGCCCCGGCCCGGGCCCCGCGGCTGCTGCTGCTGCTTCTGCTGCTGGCGGTGTTTCGGGTCCCGCTCCCGCGGCCGCTCCCGGGGCCGCTCCCGGGGCCCGTCCCCGCCACGCCGCCGCCGCTCCCCCGCCATGGCCGCGGGCGCGCCCGGAGCGTCAGCGCCGCGCGACGGGCTGCGGGGAGCGCCGCGCGCGCCCCCTGGCGGGCGGGAGGACCCCGCGCGGTTCTGTCCTCCCGGGGACCCCCGCCCGACCCAAAACCGGCCCCGAGGGGACAAGGACCCCCCCAGCATGCCCCCAACCCCGCCTTCCACCCAGTCCATGCTCACCACGCCCTTAGAAACCACTTCGTTATCTCCCTTGGTCAGCCCCATAGCTGGGGGGTCCCGGCTACACTGACCCCCCATCCGCCACCCCAACAGTGCCCCCAAAGGGACCCCAGCCAGGAATCCCCCAGCCTTTCCTAGGACCCCCACGGATGCCCGACCTCCCTGGGGACCTCCCAAGGACCCCCACTATGAACACCCAGTATCCCCTGGGACCACCCCTGGTCTACTCGAGGACCCCCATGGACCCCCACTATGAACACCCACTATCCCCTGGGACCACCCCTGGTCTCCTCGAGGACCCCCATCCTGCATCCCTGGCATCCCCTGGAAGCCCCAGGGTACTCCCAGACTCTCCAGGGCCTCCAAGAAACCCCCAGCTGCCCCATTGTCCCCCATGGGACATCCACCCTGCACCTCCCATCTCCCCAGGACGCCCCACATCCCCCCAGGAGTCCCCGTTAGATCCCGCCCCACCAGTAAGCGGTCCCAGTTGCAATCTCAGATCCCGGCCCGGCGCTGTCAGACCCCCATCCCCCGTGCCCCCCTTGCAGAGGTGGCCGGGACGGGTGGGGTGGGTTTATTGCAGGTCAGCCCTCGGGGCTGTTGCCCACGCAGGGCAGCCCCGGCACTCTCCAGCGGCGGGCGCGGTGCAGCCGCAGGGACAGCCACTGCTGGGGGCTGCCCGGGAGCGGCGGCTCGGCAGCGGCGCCGCGGGCACTGCCCGGCACATCGCCCGGCACATCGCCACCCGCGCCCGGCGGGGGCGGCCCCGGCAGCGGGACCGCCACCTCCAGGGGGTCTAGAACGGGCAGGGGGTCCGGGGGTGGATCCAGGGGGTGGGCGCCTTCGTCCGAGCCTGGGGAGGGATGGACGGACTGGGATACTGGATCCTGCTCCTGCTGGGACTCCGTGTCCCCGTCCTAGTTCTCATTCCCTGATGTTCCCATCTTCATCTCCACCCCCATCCTTGTCCCAGTCCCCGTCCTCATTCTTTCTCCATCTCCATCCCACCTCTATTTCAGTCCCACCCCCATCCCATCCCTATTTCATCCCCACCTCATCCCACTCCCCACTCCATATCCCCATTCCACCCCGCCCCATCTGCATACCTCCATTCCATGTCATGCCATCACACCCCACCCCACCTCATCCCACCCCATCCCACTCCATCCCATCCCATCCCATCTCCATCTCCTCCCCATCCCCATCCCCATCTCCTCCCCCTCCCCATTCCCATTCCCATCCCACTCCCACCCCATCCCACCCCATGCCCATATTCCACCCCATCCTCCCATTCCACCCCTTCCACGCCACCCCCCAGCCCACCCCGTCCCACTCCCGCCCCATCCCGGCTCTCACAGCAGCGCCGCAGCCCGGCCCAGCCGCGGCCGTGCCCGCCGCGCCCCCCGGGCTGCTGCAGGAGGCAGCGCACGGCCGTGTCCGTGTGGCGGAACACGCGCAGCGCCCGCAGCGCCTGCCGGGCCTC